TCCCTCCTCCCCCTCCCTTCACGTTCTGCATGATTCTCCCCGAGGCGTCACGATCGAATGAAGGGGAAACTCAGACAATGTGTGGTAATTAGATCTTGTATGTTTTACCCTGCGATTATGTGCTTGACAATTTGTCATTGAGTGGACTCCGCAGCTGTCGCTGGAGTCGAGACATGCGTCAATCAAACTCGCTCCGCCTCCCAAGGTTCCCTCCTCCCTCTCCTTCATGTTCTGCATGATTCTTCCCGAGACTTCACGGATGTTCTGAATGCGTGTAGACAGTGCAATCGTTTTAGGCACCTGCGCAATTAAAGTTGTCTTTGGATCACATGTTAGACACTTTAATAATGGAATTGTGTGTCTGAGCATTTCATTTGTAAGTGTTATTTCTCCCTCCAGCGACTTTGCTTGTCTCCGTCCACCCCCTCTTTTCACCCCCTCCTTTCTTCCTTCTCCTTCTCTCTCCATCTCACATTTACACGTACACATGTTTTTAATGGAGCATCACAACTCCTGCTGCACTCCGATGGATGGTATTCACAGAGAGCCTCTTCATCCAGCAACATTTGGCTGAGCTTTGATATAAATGCTTATGAAGATCATATTCCTCTAGAACTGTCCCTTGTCAATCCTCGAGTTCCTGCTCGTATTCACCTCAAGCTGTCAAGAGCATCTCAAGTGTGTAAATGTATACAATGAAGTGAATCTTTTTGTATGCTCCTGTTTAGCTTTTTTAGACACAATTACTGCTGTGCAAATGGTAAACACTTGTTCCCTGCTAAGCAAGTTGATGATAACTCATGATGTGTACATTTGGAGGTTTTCCTCAACACCTCCACACAGCACTGGCAAGCACTCAGTTTTAATAAGACCTGAATTATCTGCATAATGAGCAGGACTAGCCATAGTTTTTCTTTGAAAGTACTGAAAATAAATAATATGCAGTAGCTATGACCAGCCATGACTCAAGACTCCAATGTAGAAATTAATCTAATCTAATCTAATCTAATCTAATCTAATCTAATCTAATATAAAAGTATGGATGGATTTTCATATTTTAAGATCAAAAGTCTGGGTCTTTTATGTACATTTTATGGATGTACTCTTATAAAACAAAAGTCATTATTTAAAAAGAAAAATTGCGTGATAAAGTTTTTAATACCGTTTTATTACAGACGTTTATATAACAAAAAGATAAATATCATCTCCTAGGATATAATTGCTTAATGTTGAAGAAACACCCTGATATAATGTCTCATCTCTCAGATCATGAGATGGAAAGTTAGAAATTAGTTAAGAGTTTGGAAATGTCAAGAGGAGTTTTATGTAGTCCGTGTTCTCCACAGACCTGTGGTTGGCAGCCCTGGGTTGAATGCATTCCCACCTCCAATGAGACTTCACAGTAAAAAGGGCAGGTTTTCCACAAAGATGGGTTGAAGCAATGGTCCAGTGGGTGTTAGATTACAGAAAGCATGTCAAAGAGTTTGCTAGCCTCTGCCTGCTCTTTCTTTGAACCCTTCGTCCATCAGACAGGTGGAGTTAGCCCAATCATCTGGGACTTTAAGCTTACAGCTCTCTCCTTCTGAGCCTCACACAGTTCTGCTTAAATGGGATTTCAGCTGCATCCTATGCCGCTCTACTGATCTCACATCCAAGCCTGGAGCTCTCACTGATGGCAGGACTGCTGTCCGTGGTGCTGAAAGGACAGACGGCTTCTCTGCCATTGCAGCGGGCTGCCTTCTCCCTCGCGACTAGTCACATACCTCATCTCAATTATCTCTCCTCATATGGACCAAGCGCTGAAGTCGTGAATGCACAATCTGAACCATCCATTTGCTAACCGTCTGCCATTCCTGCTTAGCACAGCCCCGGATGCTGTTCTGCAGCTACAAAAAGGGGCAGATTTTTTCCGGAACTGCCATTTCGTGTGGGTAGGTGGCGGAGGAGGACTCTGTTTTTAATCATGTCAATTTGATTTGGCTAATTAAAAGAAACATCAAGAGGAAATAATGTGAGGCAGAACCGCAGTGCTTAATTGAATATGAATGCACTAATTCGAGTGTGATCTTTAAATATAAGCTTGACAAAAGATGCTCATGTATTCAGTGGGCGTTTTGCTGCGTATGTGCTAATTGTACATTCACGCCATGGACTCGCTCCCTAAAGTGCCCTCAGTGCATCCTTATGCTGTCCATTACTCTCCAATGTAAGAGCAGAAAGCATGGCTAATTCTATTTGGTTCTAGCTCAGATAGCACACTGACCTGGGAACCAGCCTTTGATCAGCAAGTGTTGAGTGCTTAAATCTGCGCTAAAACATCATTAGGGGGTAGATAACAATTCGGAGTGGGTTTTCTCACTGTCATAAGTGGACAGAAACATGCCAAATGCTGTGTCAGGGTCACCTCTTCTGCTCTCTTCATTGTTATGCGCTGTGTTGTAGTCATGCATCACTCTCAAGGGCAGATAATGACTTCAATGACAATGACCATACCGGGAGAAAGAGAGGAATGTTTTCTATTTGGATTTCCAACTGGTTTCCCAACCTGCATATGTTTAGCAAGACCTGTTTGGTTAAAAATGAAAACGCCACGCACCCAGGGCACGTTGACATGTGCTGATAAAGTGCAAGATGGGGTCGCTTTGAGAGACACCTACATTTGTCGTTTTGTTACTTAAAGACAATAAAGTCACTGTCACTTCCAGCACAATGCATGCAATGCAGCTGTACAAAATGATCCTTCTGCAGGGAGAACAGTCTGTCTGCTGCGTTAAAGCGGAATTACATGGCTAATATACTGTATTTGGAATAGCAAAGGATTGAGTGTTACAGGAGCCAATTTGATCTAATTTGAACTACTTTTCATTCCAATTATGCTTCATATTTCTCTCCCTGCCCATCCCCATGTGTGCATGTTGGCTTTATTGCACAGTGCTGCGTGCTGTATGGAACTGCTATTAAGAAATTTAGTCACTAATCATTTGACAAACAAAACGTCTTATTTCACAAGACCTTTTTGAAGATTTTCCACAGATTCTGTGCTGTTGTTAGCCTTTCAAAACAGGCCTTTTAATTTATCTTCAACACTTCACCCCCCCACCCCCCCACCATCTACTATTTGCAGAAAACGACCCAATAGACCCTTCAGTTTTTCCCCTATGCTCTTTCTCCAACGAGTGCAGAGCATTATTTAAGGGCAGGTTTCAAAAGGCAGAAAGGCTGTTGTCACTTTCAAGGTCTTTTGAAAAGTCCTCTTGTGCATGATCACAGTACTTAATTAGAAGCAAATGAGAAATTAAGCCCGCATTTTTTGTGATCAAATTAATTTTTCTCCACTCACGGAGTGCATATTGCTTCAATGTGATGTCTTCCGCCATGCACACACCTTTATTTATGGATACTGATGAGGCCAGAGGAACAGAGGGGACCCCAGAGCTCTGTACGGCACCTTGCTGCACAGTGATCTGTTTTTCAGGGCCAAATTTACTGAGCAGTTGCACCACATTTGTTCGTGGTAATTCATCTCAAAAACTTGTATTATGTCTTATTCACTTCACTTGTTCCCTTATTCATCTAACCACCTGCATTCTAGCTTAACAGGGAGATAAATTCACTGAAATAGTGCTGCTCTGTGGGTATTTTAACAAAGTCATTGTCATTATATATAAATTAGGTCTTATTTATTTATTTATTTAAAGATAACAGTAGTAGTAGTAGTAGTAGTAAGTAAATAATAATAATAATAACAATAATAATAATAATAAAAATAACAGCTAACTATTATTTATTTATTTATTTTAAATATAGGATTATTATTATTATTATTATTATTATTATTGCTTTTATACTATATATTCATGGAAAAACAAGCTGTTTGTTTCATTTTGACCATGGCAGCATTTCTTTCATTCACTGAAATGGCCATGGATATTTTAATTAATTCATTTTCATTTGTATATAAATTAGGCTTTAAAATTATTTTTATGTATGTATTTATTTCTTAATTTATTAAACCATTACGACTAACATTGATTGATTGATTGAATGGTGCAATTATTTATAAATGTATACTATATCATTCACAAAACTTTGTGAAAAACTTGCCTCAGTTTTAATCCAACTATTCCACAGAAACCAAGCATTAAAGTTTTTTTTTTTATTTTTTAAAAAGAGCTATTTTGTGTTTTCTGTTGAACAAGTAGTAATTAATCAAATGATGATTAAGTTATGGAGATGAACATACAGTGCCATACAGTATCTCCAGACTCTTGATATATGACTGGTTATATGATGTGTAATTTCTACAGTGTGCTGTATATTGCAGTAGTCTGCTGTAAACTCCACAGTCTAGCACTTAAAACTGACCTGCAAGATCAGATGTTACTGTTGATTTGCTGTAACCGTTGAGCAGTTATCGCAGATTTGCATATTCCCTTTAATGAATTCAGCACACATACAGCTCACCCAAATAAAAGGAGTATGGTGTGATCATGCCGCTGCATACTCATTAATAAACATGCATCATTTACACTCCTCACCTGATGCCCGTACTACACTCACATTCTGTCTTATTATCTGGCATCCTCTGTTGTCGGACGCTGTCACTACTGCACTACTATGCTTAGCCACTATATGGGTGAAAGAGAGAGGTGTTGATTGACTAAGAGGCCTTCAGGAGGCTCAGAGCTGTTTAAAACACTAGCTGCGAGCTGGTTTGTGAATATTCATCTGTGAACTGATCAGCAAATTTGCAAAGCGAATGAGGGGATCTGTCAACTAGCCCAGTCTGTTACTCTCAAAGATCCGCAGCTGAGGGAATGACACTGCCAGGTCTTGATTTTGATCAAACTGGCCTCCTAATAGAAATTCACAATAAAAGGTCAGAAATTATTGCACTTTGATGTGAGTCACAGATAAAATTTAGGGGCACATGCAAGTTTGTAACCGTTTTTGGTAATAAAATAACATACTGTCTTTTTTTTCTTTTTTTTTACTTTCAGAGGCCTGGTCAGAGGATTTCTGGTGGTGACGTCTTGCCGGTGGAATGCAGATGCACTTCTCTAAGGGGAGCTGAGGTTTGCTGTGGAAAGAAATCATGTATTTGACCTACTACCCACAAAACGAAAAATACAACCGCAGCAGTAATCCTACTTTCACCAGAGGGTGAGATGCATAAATCGGTCTTTTAACATGTCGAGTCAACTAGATTTTTAGGGCAGTTTTAGATTTCAAAGCACTAAGTAAGTACTGTGTGAGTTTTTTTTTCTTACATGGTCTTTCAGAAGTGTTCCTCAATGGAGATACTCAGAAGAGAATCAAGATGGAGAATCTAGTGAAAAGAAACTCTTAAATATTAGTTTTTTTTTTAGAAAACTGGGATCTTACCAATTCTGCAGCGCTATTTTGGAAAAGGCCAGATATATTAATACGCTAGACTGGGAATAAATCTCTCCTCTGCAGTGGATTAAGAGAAACGGAACATTAGAAAAGGAGGATTAGGAGCACACTTGGAAGATGATGACACGGAAGTGGAGGTGCGGCGCGAAGTTCTCGCGGGCCTCCTTTTGGCTGGGGCTCATGGTGGCCATAGCTATCACTGCAGCTCTGGAGTTTGATGGTCTGCCGGGTCAGTGGGTTCGCTATGAACCCTGGGAGGCGGGAGCCACCGGAGAGCTGAGCTTCACCATGAAGACGAACATCAGCAAAGCTGTAGTGCTGTACCTGGATGATGGCGGCAACTGTGACTTCCTGGAGCTCCTGATCAACGACGGCCGTCTGCAGTTGCGCTTCGCCATCCACTGCGGCGAGCCGGCCTCGTTGCACATGGAGACGCACATCAACGACGAACGCTGGCATCGCATACTGCTCACGAGGAATTACCGTGAGACCATGCTGGCGATGGATGGGGAGAGCAAAGTGGTGGAGGTGAAGTCCAAGCGAAGGGAAATGATGGTGGCCAGCGACTTGTATGTGGGTGGGATCCCACCGGACGTGCGTCTCTCGGCCCTCACCTCCAGCACGGTCAAATACGAGCCACCTTTCCGAGGCCTGATCGCCAACTTGAAGTTAGGAGAGACTCCTCCTGCTCTCCTGGACAGTCAGGGCGTGAAGAACGATCTGGAATACCTGTGTACCAAACAAAACCCCTGCAGCAACGGAGGACGCTGCTCCATTCATGACAGTGAGGTGCTGTGTGATTGCTCCAATACTGGCTACAAAGGGAAATACTGCACTGAAGGTAAGCAAGATGATGTGCTTCAAGGCCTTACATAACATGAAGATGTTCTTATCACAATGCCTAACTGGATAACGCACCTAGCTGTCAAGGTAAAATGTTTGCTTTTAAGGAACTCAAGGGCTCAGGAGTTGGAAATTATTAAACATTATCTGATCTGGTCTGTCTGTTTTATAATCGTTTGGTTGAGGGTTTGTCTTATCTTCTTCTTCTGCACTTAAAATGCAGTTTGACTGCAAAAATGTTTGCATTATCTATGATGTAACTGAAATTTGTAGAAAAGTTGGGTGATTCAATCATGTTACAAGGAATAGCTCAGCCAAACATGGAAATTCTGCCATCACATGGGTTTGTGGAACACAAAAGGAGACATTTTGAATAATAGTCTGGTTGCTCTTTTCTATGCAATTACAATAAATGGGATTTCAAGTTTTGAAAAGGGTGCAAAAGCAGCTTAAAAGTGGTTCATGTGAATTGTGCACTATATTTAAAATCTTCTGAAGTCATATAAGAGCTTTGTGGGAGGAACAGACTTAAAATTAAGACTATATTCACTGATAATCTTCCTCTCCAGTGAACTGTTGTCCAGTGTGTATCCAAATCAGTGAACCAGTGAGTTGAAGATTAGAGCAGATGTCAACATTTTCAGGGAGTTAAATTGTGTAAATTGCACACAAAGCTATTACATGACTTCAGAAGTCTATGAATATAGCATGCAAGTCAGAAGGACCACTTCTATGATGCGTTTATGGTAATTTACCATTTTGCTGTTTGACTTACTCATTTCTGATTAACTTTTATTATATTAACAAGAGTGGCCAGGATGTTCTTTAAAAAATCACCTTTTGCCTTCCTCAGAAGAGAAAGTCATACAGATTTGGAATGACATGAGGTTGAGTAACAAAAAATAAATATAAAAAGGAGATAATCTCTTCCTGAAGTCATGATAAAGCGTAAATTATTGCAGATTTTTATTCCATATTGTGACATGCATTCAGGTGTAACAGGAACAGACTTGGTTCTACGCATAATTTTTTGATTGGTTTTGAGATGTGGGTGTAGCACAAAAAAAATGGGGGTAGATGAAAAGAGGTGAAGTTTTAGCAGACTAAAAAACTGGAGAAGTCCGGCATACATTATGACATTTTTATTTTAAGATGACAAGGTCAAAAAAAAAAAAAATCTATTACAGGTATTTAGAAAATAGATGTGAATAGGTTGAATTTTCGTTTCATGTCGTCGACTTTAATGAAGCACTGAAACACCACTTTTAGAGTGGTGTGTTATAGATGGTCTGGTATTACAGCACATTAGCCTTTTAAAATGCCTTGAGAATTTATAGCTAATGAGATATCTTTGTAGATCTCATTAGATCAGGTTCCGAGGGTTTGTGTATTTACAGCTGTTTAGACATTTTTTTTGTTTTAACTGTAAATAAAGGATTGATATGCAAAAAAAGCATCCCAAACATGTGACAGAAAGATAAGGATAGTACATTATTTGTACCCTGATATCAGCTTCATTCAAATCAAATGGTTTCTTTTGGCCTTTTTATTACTGAAAATGTAGCTAAACAAAATAGGGGAAATGTAGTTATAATAAAGAGATACAGAAAATTCAGAAATATAAATGAAAATCATGTTACCTACCAAAGTAATAATCCACTAAATCATCTTAGCATTATCACCATGAGACATCTTTAATTTTATATCAGTATTATTATGCAAAATCCAATAAAAAGCACCAGTAAATCATATCCAAGCCTTTTGGATTGATGTATTTTGCCAGAAAATGATCATGCCTTACCTCTACAGACCTGTAGTAGAAGAAAAATTTTTTGCATTTGTAATTCTAGCTGTGTACGATCTGTATGCATGTGTAGCATATTCCCCTACTAATTTTAATAAAACATGGACATGTGTTGGAACATGGGAGAGCAGTTTGCCATAGAAACTGTTCTAGGTGACATATGTAGACTAATTAGGGCCACTCAGCAATGTCTCAGCCCTTTGGAGAAGTCACCGTCTGTCATATGGCGGTACGGTGTTAAACCCGAGGCCAAATCTGCATGACTTCATACAGAAATATATTTGGCCTGTGTCCTCTTCTAATTGAACAGGCAGCGAGGACAGAGTCAGTGGCAGCTCACACTTGGCTTTTCACTTAATGCAGTCTCAGGTTACCCACTGTGGAGTCGACAGGAAACGGGGCTTCGCTCTGTACCGAGAGAACGCCAGCGTGACTGAGTCCAGCAAGTACGTTTCGAATTAAGATTAAATTTTCCGGCGCTTCAAAAGAAGAGAGATATGTGGGACGGGGAGATGTTAAGAACAGAAAAATAAATCATCCTGAAAGTTGATTGAGCAAATTGGATTTGACACTGGTAAAGGACAATATTAAAGAAAACAATTGGTTTTCGCATAATTTAATTCCTTGCTTTTACTCCAGGGATTATCCATTGGAAGACAGACTTATCAAACACAGTATTTGAGTGTTTAAAAAAATGCATAGATAATCAAGAGTCACAGTGTAATTATTATTTCTAGTTAAGTATTGGTATAACAAATCCTCGGAAGAATTAGCAGAGACTCATCAAATGGTGGTGGTTAATTACACGCATGTCTTTTCATATTTAACAATATTCCCAGACTGTGAGTGGGAAGTGGTCTCCATCGCCGTGCCCTTGTCAAACCTCCCAGGTGAAATTTTGCAGGCTTTTACCCTCAAAGCTAAGAGGGCCGTCAGTATCAATTAAGGCTGCCCTCGCCACAATGGAAATCTAGGCCAAAGCGATATATCAGCAGTGTGTGCATCTTTTCTCTCGCATCTGCATCAGGCATGCTAATGAGGTCTCAACCCAATATATGAGCAGTGCATAAACTGCAGTGCTGGTCAGATGCTGTATTATCACCACCGCTTCTGTGACGTGTGTGTATATATACGGTATATATATATACAGCATTAACACGGGCCTGCTGGGAGCTCTTAATATCGGTACAGTTACCATTTTAAAAGGCACATAAGCAGAATTGCACACAGGCACAAGTGTTCCGCATTAACGGGATGCTTTCATATGCCTGGAGATGACGAAAGCAGGCTTTTACTTTTACTTTACTTCACAGTAATACATTCTTGTAGGGCTGGAAGAGATTCTGCTGTATCATTTATACTGCAGTATATCCTCATTGTGGTTTAAAGAATCTGGCACCAAGCGAAAAATAATGCATTCTGCAAACTGTCACAGATGGGTTCTTCTCTTCTCTTCTCTTCTCTTCTCTTCTCTTCTCTTCTCTTCTCTTCTCTTCTCTTCTCTTCTCTTCTCTTCTCTTCTCTTCTCTTCTCTTCTCTTCTCTTCTCTTCTCTTCTCTTCTCTTCTCTTCTCTTCTCTTCTCTTCTCTTCTCTTCTCTTCTCTTCTCTTCTCTTCTCTTCTCTTCTCTTCTCTTCTCTTCTCTTCTCTTCTCGTCTCGTCTCGTCTCGTCTCGTCTCGTCTCGTCATCCATCCATCCATCCATCCATCCATCCATCCATCCATCCGAATGATTATTAAAATAATAATATAAAATATTATTAAAAGCCCCTATTATTTTCTATTGTATTTTATAGTATTTGATTTCATTCATTCTATAACTTGTATTTATGAATAACTTGTACTCACTCACTCACTCACTCGATTAATGCAAACCAATTGTTATAATGTAATGTAATGTAATATAATATAATATAATATAATATAATATAATATAATATAATTAATATAATATCATTCATTCATTCACTCATTCATTCATTCATTCATTATATTATATTATATTATATATAAAGCATGATATGCTTTTATTGATACATTTTTCTAAGTTATTTTACATTTATGCATTTGGCAGATGCTTTTATCTGAAGCGACTTAACAGCTCACTGGCATTGTATTCCAGGTTTACCTTTGATCAATTCACGGCTTACCTGGGAATCAAACCCATGACCTTGGCAATGCTAGTGCCATACTGTTTGAGCTACAACGGTTTCAATATTGCAAAAATAACCGTTTCATTATGTATACCGTTACCATGATTTACAATTACTCTTATATTAAGTGATATAAGGTTTTTGGTCATGCCGCCCACCCTTACAGTCTACAGTCTATAAAAGCAAGAGCAAAGCACCGAAGAGGTCTAGTTTGCATCAGACAAAAACCTTTTCATGTAATGTTGGACTTCATTACTACACTGGTCTTTTTACTCTGTATGAGAGACTCAATTCGCAGAGGCTTTTCTTTAAGTGTTCAGGGAACGAGCATTCACTGTGAAAACAAGGCCATCCGCTCCCCAGGATTAAATAATGTAGACTGAGAGTCTGTCTTATTTATCAACACAAATTAGTCTGGGTTGCCCTCAACATCGAGCTGTGTGTGCCAAGGATGCAAGCATGTCTGTATTTTGTTTTCAGACAGGCATCTGCTGCCATTGTGCAGTTTTGTATTTCTTTTGGGGCCAAAATGCAAGCGAGTGAGGTTAGCTACTTTTACCCGGCTCAGGGCTTGTGTGTTTTGGCCAGTAGCCGGTTGTGCGGTAATCAGCACCATAGTTTACCGCACTTGGCAGAGGGCACAAGATGCCAAATAATGGTTTACACACTAGGCAGCAATTCAGCAAGTAATTAAAACAGGACATGGAGTCTTTTCAGCTGCCTTGTTAATTTTGCTTGGTGGCCATTTGCAATGCAACACAGTCCCTGCCTTTTGAAACCTTATAATAGCTTCCTGTGAGGAACAGGCTGAAATTGAAGATGCCTCCAGTGAGCTGTTAACTTGAAACTGCTGACCGAATCAGGAGTAAATAACATTTATTTTTGTGTGAAGTATTCCTTTTAATGCTAATTTTTTGATTTACAGATGAACTGCGGTTAATAGAAGGAATGAATTTGTGTTACAGTGGTGTTACTAATAATGTTGGATTCATTTGAATACAGGAAGTTCAAATATCAGTTTCACATATAGATATATAGATAATGACATCTATATTTGGAGTTAGTGGGAAAAAAATCTGTACATGAGAATGAGAATTCATATAAAACTTAATTTTCCAACTCTGTGTCCCTCATGATTCACCTACTTACTTTCTTTCATGCAATGAACACTCAGTTATCAGTAGGTCTACATGATCTGTCAACACACCACCTGATTTTTGCGGCAGGCCTTTGCAAGGTCAAAATGAATGCTAGCTCTCCTTCTCGGAGGGGAAAGGATCTTCGTGTTAGATATTGCTTGCATTTGCTTTCTTTGTTTAATAAAAGGAGCTTGGTGGATCTTGTCAGATTTGCTTTTAGACCTAGGAAAATCCTATCCCTGTGCACTCAAGTGCATTTGCTGGTTTGCCTGTGTGGCTTTGCATTTTCAAAATCCTTATAGTGGAAAATAAAGGCAGACTGCAAAGCGACAAAGGGGTACTGCTGGAGTTCATGTTCTCATCCACAAAATGCCAGTACAGGATTACTTGTTACTTATTTAGCTTACTAATTAATAAAGAGTAATTCTCATTAAATTAATTCTTAAGTGCCACTGATGTAATTGGAATAACATTTATTTGTTCCTGATTTCAAAAAGGAAATATGTCATTTTAATCATATAGATCAAACAAGATTGTCCCAGACTTTGACTTTAAATCATAAAATTTTATCAAAAGTACACTTGTTTACCAGGTAGACTTGCTTATAAGTGCTCAAGATGAAACATGACACGTGATGTGTGAAGAAAAAATTAAGGTAAAATATGTTTTTATTTTGTCCTTATTATAATACTTATTATTTTTGAGGTACAGTGAAAGTAAGACATTGTTAAAGTGATTTTCAGCCTCTGTGTTGCAACATTCACACATGCAATTATGCAGAAAGATCAAACGAACTTTTGCAAAAACAGATAATGAAATGAGCTGCCAATAAGTTGCTGGCAAGAAGCCATGATACATGTGAGAAGCTGTTTTGTGAAGTGGGTGACACCTATATTATTGATTTACTGCAATAGCAATCAAAAAGACTGTTGATTTCATATTTTAGCTCCTGTAAACAGACACTTCCTCTATTGTCGTGGTTGATGGAGATACCTCGTCTTATTCGAGTTCACACTGGAGGACCTGATTCAGTTCATGAAAGGGATTAGCATCACTTCGCTAAATAGAGACAGATTACATGCCACTCTGGCTTTTTCAAACCGACAGGCTGAGATCATGCTAATAACCCGCGTGGCACTAGTCTAGCACGCTCATTTTGAGAAGCTCCAGACGCTGTCACCATGTCAGCTCTCATGGCCATGCTCAATTCATTACAATTCGGGACTTTGTTGCCGTGACCAATTTGAGGGAGCCGAGGAGAGCACTTGTAAAGGTTAAAGCGGCCCTCGTGATTTATGGGCGGTTGACAGTTTTGCATGGCCTGATATCCAGAGCCAAGCAAGCAGCTCCCACAAACACAGTGTGATTAAGAGATTTACTGTCTCGCTCCAGGCAATCGAGCAGCATTTGCGCTGAGGGTTTTATGTCGTCTTTTGTCCCGGCTATCGTTGTGCTTTCAGCTTCCCTTTGCAAACATTGCTGGGGTGCACTAACGTCCCCCTCGCACGTAATGCACCTGTGGTATCCGACAGACATAGTCCAAATCACCTTTTCATTGATAAAGCAGTCCATTAAGATTTGCTTGGAAACCTCAGATTTAATTTGTAACTGTTGAGTGACCAAGATTAGGAAAATGGATAATAGATCAGCCCTCCCTCTCCCGGGTGCTCGTTTACGTGCCAACGTCTCCATGGCCACATAATGATGAACATAAAATAACATTCGCAAAGATTCCTCTTTAATTGGCCGTAGGGTTAGGTCTGTGTTTTCAATGGCCTTGTAGAAGCCGCCATGTGTTCTCATTAGTGTTTTAGAGGGAGGATTGTTGCCCTCCACCTTTTAAGAGCTGCAAACAGCTCCTCTCACAGCTACTTTCTCCTCATTATCACAGTGGCAACAGTGATCTGACTCACCTTCCATGACCAGACCGTCCAGCCCCACACTAGCTCCACCTAGCAAGCCTTTGACGTCCTCCCCTGACTCCTATTATTTCACAGTAAAGGTTTTCCAAGCCTCGCTCGGACCTGTGCTTGCCTGAGTCTGTCCTGTGGTCTCAAGTATGCCATTAAGTTAGCACCTGACCTTTTGGCCTCTTGGAGTACTTGCTGTAGAAGTATTCTCAACGTCATAGTGTTCAAATTATGGTATTAATGAGTCCCAAATTATTTTTGTCTGTACCAAGATTTATTCATATGAATAATAAACACAATGAACATGTGATTAGTATTATACATATTATGTAAGTAGATAATATTTAGCAATATGTACATTTATTGTAATGTGTGCCTTGGAGGAGGATAATCCTGGTTCCTACTTAGCGTTTTGTCTTTCTTCACTTGATTTTGTGGGGAGGGGGGGGGAAGGTTTCTTGCCATAACCAGTCACTGAGGATACGAAGGCATGGTTTTCTGAAAAAAATGATTTGATACAATATATATTCATTGTAAGACGTGCTGTACAAGTAAAAGTCACTTCTCTTGATGGTATGATAATGGTTTGATGAATTTATGAAGTAAATACTGCAAGGTTTGTTTCAAATTTTAATTTGTCTGATAAATGTATCTACTATATTGTCCAACACTTGATTTGCATGCATAAGGAGAATTCTGCCATTTTTGGACACACTGGACACAGTTCCAGTGTCATTTGCACCACATCTCAGATTATTTACTGTACATTTAATAACATTCTATAGTGGAAATGGTGTGAATTACATTAGATTTTTTTTTAAATTATTATTATTATTATTATTTATTTTATTTTTTTCAAATGGCCAACATCTTTATAATTCTAATTTAATAGCTAGAATTTTATGCATCCAAAATGCTCACAAATATAGTCACACTTTGTCACTATAATTTATATAATTTTTATAATTCTATAATTTTTTTGCACTTTTTTTCCTGCCTAGTTGCACTTGTTACTTCAGTTTTTGAGTGAACACTGTCAGAATTATCCACAAATAATGCCTTTTTTCACTCAAAAACTGAGGTGCATAAGCTCAGATCAATAAGACCTGCAACCAATTAGTTCCAAAAAACAAGACTGAGATACAAGACTTGGTGATAATATAGCGTAATGAGAGATTTACAAGCAATTTTTAAAAGGCCACCAAACTGGCTAAAGGATTTTCAACACAGCCTAAGGGTTTAAAATGTTCTACTAGATAGACTAGATGTGAGTCTAATTTCATATCAAGATCTGACACTATTTTTATAGTTTATGTACATGAGAAAACTGATTATTTCACTCTTTGTTCAGATTATCATAGTTTTAAATTTAGTAATTTACATTTTTATGATGGATTGTCATGTTTTAAGATAAATTCTTATTTCAGTTGATTTAGATTAAATATTTTAGTATTTCTGGGAAAAGGGTAAAACAATAAAAATCTATACATGAAAGACGTGAAAAGTAGGAAAAAATAAACGAAAACATTAGTTGCGTTCGAAATCACAAACTGTCTGAGTTCTCAAACTGTCATACTTTTCTCCTACTGTTTTATGAATACTACACACATTGTTTTTCACCTACTATTGTAGAGCAGTAGGCACATTTGTGACCCTGGACCACATTTTTTTGAAAAGCTGAATAAATAAGCTTTCCATTGATGTATGGTTTGTTAGGATAGGACAATATTTGACCGAGATTCAACTATTTGAAAATCTGGAATCTGATCAAAAAAATCAAAATAGTGAGAAAATCGCCTTTAAATTTGTCCAAATGAAGTTTCATAGCAATGCATATTACTAATCAGAAATGAAGTTTTTATATATTTATGGTAGGAACTTTACAAAATATATTCATGGAACATTATCTTTACTTAATATCCTAATGATTTTTGGCATGAAAGAAAAATTGATAATTTTGACCCATACAATATTTTTTGGCTATTGCTTATTGACTTAAGACTGGTTTTGTGGTCCAGGGTCACATTTGGACTCAGAGTTGGTTAAAAGTTTCAAGACAGGTTTAATATGACCTTTATATAACAAAAAGAAAAAAGTTGAATTCTGTTAGTTTTAATAAAAATCAACTCCTGGGAAATAAAAGTTCCTGAAGTTGAAGAAACTCTTATAGATTTAATCGTTGTATCTCAGAAAACAACACAAGCAACATGCATCCCAGCTCCCATGAGTCTAATCATCTAGACTACTATAAACAGTCATCTGCCGTAATGACAATAACATTTGAGTGTATGACTTGATTTATGACTCAAACAAGTGGTGCGTGCATTTTTATCATGTTTTAGTCAGACTGAAATCTACAGTAGACTATGCAATTATGAGCTTTTTAAAGTTTCTGCTAACAACATTTGTAAGTACTTACTGTATACTCAAGTGGTGGTATTTTAGTTCACATGCCCTCAAAGATATCATGTACGCTTTTGAGTAATACTCTTTAACCACTCTAAAATGACTTTCACCCTCAGTTCCTTAATTCACGTTTCTTGAATGCTTATCTTACTGATGCATATGATTTTTCTTGGATCCACATGATGTTTTGCTCCCACACCTGAATATTTATGAAGTGTAGGATTACAAGTAGGCCTACATACTGTTATTAAATGTATATTTACAGTAGTTTGCATTTTAGCCTGTTCATAATAGTAGTATTTGGCATTATATATTTACTTAACTATGAACCATAACATAAAACCTCATCTAACTTGATATTTTGATAGTCTCACCTAGCAATTACACATACATACTTTCTTCGGCAATGGCATTTACTCTGCTCATTATAGTTTCAACAGGCTGAATGACAAATAGTGGATTCTGTGTTGTTGATTTATTATTCTCTTTCTTCTTTCCCATCATTCCTGCTGCAGCTCTCCAGCAAGTTTTAGGAGGTAAGACCAATGTTTTGTCTTTTCAGATCTGATATGCTAGAGCTGATATTGATGCTGGTGTCATCCTTCCTTGCATTGTCAGTTTGTACTGCAGTTCTGTTGACTGACTAGAGTGGACTAAAATCACTCACCTGCATGAGAAAGACCAGATTCAGTGACAGATTGAACATCATGTGCTGTTGCATGCGCCACACCGGCTATGCGCGAGTAAACGCTCAACGGTGGAGCGTTTATGTTGTGGAGGATTTTATAATGCTTGGTCTCCAGTTTTGCAGGGCCAGAGGCTCGGGCCTCCAGCCCTGCAGCTTTTAAATGAACTCTGAATTAGATCTGCTGAATTAGAGCGCGTAAGTGCAACCCAGGCTAGGATTAAGGCAGCTGGCAGTGGTCATGCAAAACCGCTCTGCCATATACAGCTCATGGGGAAGATAAATTGAACCTCGCAGTTAGGCGTAGATGAATCCTGCAAGGCTTGACACTTCACAACTCACAAGTTTGAATGCTGGAGAAGATCCCAAGTATATATTATTTTGCCAACACCTTCTCTGTGAATGATAAAATTTAAACGCCACGGTTTGTGATGTCCGTCCTTTTGTTTTTAGCTCCAAGGACCTCGATATTTTATGTGGATGGATAGGTTGAATCTAAGACCTGCGGAAAATTCATCAACTCGATCTTGATTTTCAAAAGCTAGTGATGAAAAATGTCTCTCTGATCGAGGAGATCCATGATGCCGTGGTTATTTAAAATGTATTATATTGTGCCTCGGAGCTGATGTGATGTCTGGGCTTGAAAATTATGATGTAGTGCATTATTCAGTAGATGTTAAAACACTGTTAACGGATACACAGAAGAAAGTCAGGGTTTTTTAAATTTCTTTTTTATTTTGTGAACAGTTTGAAAATTAAAATAGTAAGACGGAAATGGTGAAAAAATGCAACTCAAAAAACGCGGTGCAACTCTGAGGTCTTGAAAAAGGAGCAGTCTATTGTGAAAAGGTCTGCTCTATTTAAAATGTACACTCGATGTTATTGAAGCGCCTGTGATCATTGGCAGTGTCTGTATTGTATTCATTCTCAACAGAAGAAGGTTATCTTAAAGGCCACAGTGACACTAGTGGATGACAGAGGCCTTCTTTTACAACATGTGTTTTTAGCCTAGACTTTTAATCATCCTCGGTTTCCCTTGTGAAGAGCTCAAGCGCTAGGACTACGCGGACATCAAATGGCAAGAATTGGACAGGGATGTGCCATATAAAGCAAGTGCTTGTGTCTATTGGATTAAAGCATTCACACAGTGTCAGCACTTTGTTTCTAGTGCAGAATGCATGAAAACAAAGATGACACTCGTTCAAGCAATCCGCTTTTTTTCGTCACCTTCTCTGGAATGCAGTGTGACATCTGAAAAGCTCGATTTAGGTGTCGCATCAGTTTGTGTATGTACAGCATTAAAATTCTGTCACATGGAGATCCAGTGAGTGTTTGTGGATGGGCCTGTTCGTGTTTGGGTGGTCACAGGAAGATGGAGGTGTTGTAGCAGAAAGCAGATATGGGAAAATGTATTTTTGTGTTGGGTCGGATGCCTCAGCCATGTCACTGCTGAAAATACCATCTGCATGGATTTCCGTGATGATTCATTTCAATTTGGTGCTTGTCTACTTGGAGGACCAAAAATTACAGTAAAGCGGATTGACCGAAATCAGAACTTGCTGGTTAGGAAGCATTCAAAGTTAGTTAATATTTAAACTCAAACCATTTTAGCAGGAGGTTCTGTTCAAATCATATTTTTCACAATATCTTAAAATAGTTAACATGAAATAACAATGAATTGTACTTTTGCAGCATTTATTAATCCAAACTACCTTTCAGACATTTTTTTTTTCTTTTCTTTTTTATTCAACAAGGATGCATTGAATTGATCAAAAGTGACAGTAAAGATTTACAACTTTTCTTTTTCTAATAAATGCTGTTATTTTAAACCTATTTATCAAAACCTCCTGAAATGAAGCACGGTTTCATCAAAAACATTAAGCAGGTCAAATGTTTTCAACATCGATAAGAAATGTTTCTTGAGCACCAAATGAGCATATCTGAATGCTTTCTAAAGGATCATGTGACACTGAAGACTGGTGTAATGGCTTCTAAAAATTCAGCTTAGCCCTCACAGGAATAAATTTCATTAAATGTCATTCACCATGTCCTAACTACACGCGACACGACAGGATTCCAGCGACAAGCAATTTGGCTGTCCACACTAGATGCGACACAACAACGTGACTTGACAGAATCACTCAAATATTACAGCCATTCAGAAGTGCACTGCACTCCCAACGAAATGGACATGTTTATCATCTAATCATCTAATATTAAACTTTTTAACATTATTAAAAGTAAATATTCACAGTTCACAGTCTTTAACGTACATGTTTGCTTTAATTTATTTTCAAGATCTGAGGTAAACTATATTGTTGCTTTCGGTATGGCTATAAATGTCACGCAAAATGAAAATCAAACTCACATTAGACAATTTTAACATTGAATAAAACACATAATCAGTATCTGAGATTATCATTGTCCTTGTTGTTCCAGCCGTGACGTCGCAGAAATAGAAACCAGTTCTAAAATAGAAATGTTGCGTGTCGCCATCGTGGCTGATTAGGACAAAAACTCCAATTAACATGGAAAAGATACATTTATCGCGTGTCGCGGCATTGCGTCGCATGTAGTTAGGACACTGAGTTAAAATATATAACTACTATTTTAAATTTTAATAATATTTCACAATTATACTGTTTTATTGTATTTTTGATTCAATAAATGCAGCCTTGATGAGCATAAGACACTTAAAATCATAAATCTTACAGCCTCCAAACTTTGTAACAGTCGTGTAGGTAAATTTTTTATTTGTACATATTTCGTATTTTAATGTCTAAATGATCATTTGTTAATGTATTGCGAATAAACATGAGCTAACGATGAAAAATGGCACATAAATGTATAAATTAATAAATGCTGTGAAAAAAATGCTCTGTTAGTTCATGATACCAAATGCATTAACTAGTGTTAATGAATGGAACCTTCTTGTAAAGCATTACTAACTAAACAAACATCTCATTAAGTATTAATGCACTTTGTACAGCCACAGAAATGCCGTTTAATTTCAGCATCTGTCTTTGTGCTGTTTAATTTTCTGCATTTGCTTTGATACGTTTCAGAAGACTTAAAACCGCCAAACTGGATTGCAACATTTTAACAGTGACACAAGCTGTTTTCATCCAGTCAGTGTTGTTGACCTCATACATAAGCAACATATATGCAAATAAGAGTGTTATTATACAAATAACAATGTTTACAAATGTATACAGTGTGAAACTTTGAAACATGACCCCAGGATTAATTACTAACCCAGGGTAGAGAATGGACAGTGAGAAGTAGATAGATAACCCACGATCACGTTTACCCAGGGTGTTAAACAAATCTCTAACATCCCTGCAGGATGCCATGCTTTACTCATATATACACTTGTTACGTCGTGTCGAGGTCATATGACTTGACGGTGTGTGTGTAGAGAGCATGTTTTGGGATGTTGAGATGCCTCAGTTAGCCATCTGTGCTCTCATGCATACCGTCAGCTTCAGGATGTTTACAGTCTTATCATACCTCTGCTTCCATCCTTAGAGGAAAAGCTCTTATGCCACTGCTGCTCACTTCTTGAGGGCCGGAGCATAATCCAAAGCTCAGCTCTTCTGCATCCAACCTTTCCAGTTAGGTAACGCAGAGCAGGCTTGATCGCAGTGACCATGACCGTCAGCTGCCCTTGAGAGCAGAGGCATGTGAGGACGTCAGAAGAGCGGGTACAGCTGGCACTGCCATGCCCAATGCTCCCAGTACCTCAGTGACCTTGATATAATCCTCCATCTGAAGGAAAGCCTCCAGGAGTTTTAGGCTAATCCCCTCTCCGCATATTCAGAGGTTTCTCACTCAGTGCCGTGCAGGAGCTAATCAGAGATCAGGTTTTGATATGCAGTAGATAGAGAATCCGTTATGGCTTAGAGTTTTATGTACTGAGCATTTGCAAAGCATCTTGTCACCAGTAGCTTATGAGACTCTGACAGTCACTTGCTTCCTGAAAATTCTTAGTATTCACAGATGGAGGCAGCATGTGATTTTTCTCTTTTTATAATGTTTATGATCTTGTGTGTGGCAATAATGCTCTGCTCTACTTCTGCCACATCAAATAAACAAAATCCATCACACAGGTCATTATTTCACACGTTATTATTCGAGATATTATCTAGTCATTTTGAGTTAGAGTCTCTCAAAATGATGATCTCAAATAATCTCGATTTACTTTATTTTAAGATAATATCTCATTGTTTTGACTTGCTTCAGAAAACATATTTCAATATTTTAATGTCATTATTTTAAAATGTCAAATTACTGAGTTTGTATCTAGGGTAGTTTCTTTTAAATAATACATCTATTAAGGAATATCTCTTAAAATGTCTCAAAATAATGATATCTGAAAGTAATGATGTTATCTCAAAATAATAATCTTGAAGTAATGAGATATTTCAAAATTATGAGATCCTATGTAATTATTTCGAGTTTGCATCGTTTCTCATTATTATCTCGTTTCAAAATAAATGTTGTTTTTTAATGCTTTTTTGAAATGAGAGCTCAATCTTGATTTAAATTATTTTGAGTTGGTAGCTTGGTCTAGTACATCATAAATGTAATATCTACTAAACCATCTCAAAATAATGAAATGTTATCTTCAAATAATTTCATTTTTTAAATGCAATGTCAGATTGAGTTTCTGTTTAGGGTATCTTTTAAAATATCTTGAAATAATCATATTGTCTTAAATTGATGTTATTTCAAAATAATGAGAGCTCTCTACATTTTTTTCTAAATAACGTGTGCTGATTTTATTTATTTTTTGATGTAGCAGAAACTGACTTCCATAGAATTCAGTAAGCTAGCAAGCATAATTTTGCC